GTGGTGATTACTTGGGGTTGTGCAAAGAACTGCACGAGACTATTCATTGATTATATGTCCTTGAAAATATCATTAGTGTGAACAGGAACAATTGTTTTTGCCATCCTACTGCACCGTATCATTAATTTTACCTCGAAACTTCAATCAAATCTATGTTAAAGAACATGTTTGTCATTTCACAAACATTCGAATAGTTCTGATGTCACAAAAATGTTGGCTGAAGGACATTTTTTTTGTCATTGTTGCTACTATTGCCACTGGCTTGCTTGGTTTTGGGATTTGTGGAGCTGCACATTGATGGATTTTCTCTTTAGTGTTTGGACTTTCTTCAGTGAAAGTTAAACCACACTGAACTAAACAACTCTAAAAAATTAAATTGAAACAGTTTCAATTTACCACAACTTCTATGTTAGACTGCTTCGACACAATCTACATTTTAAAAGTGTCAGATCTAAACATGGATTGAAAAGTAGATGAAAATGAATGAATGAATGAATGAATGAATGAATGAATGAATGAATCAATCAATCAATCAATCAATCAATCAATCAATCAATCAATCAATCAATCAATCAATCAATCAATCAATCAATCAATCAATCAATCAATCAATCAATCAATCAATCAATCAATCAGTCAATTACTCAAGATGTTCAAAACCTTTGGAATGAAATGCCACATTGTTGATCTGAAAAGCACAGAACTACTCTTCTAGCTTTACAACAAACAATAAAAGAACAAGAGAATCATCAAATAAAGAAAAGATCAAAAGCAAACAGTTCTCTTTAGTAAATATGTATTCTTTGGCATTCGTAACCCTAGCTAATTATAGACACAGGCAAGTGTCTACACACTCAGTGACATTGATAACACTAAAGTATACTGACACAGACTTTCAGTGTAAACAGTTCAATACAGATCAATAAACAAAGTGAGAACTCTGAAGATAGATTGAAACACAGTAGAGCAGCCGAGAAACATTCACTGCTTGACTGATGATGGCCAACACTCCACTGAGGACTGGGACTGACCTATCTCTTTGCAACCAGCACAAAAGAAAGCCTTTTATAAAGCTAGAATGTCCACTGATTGGTCGGGTGTCATGACATCACATGTATAACTGACAGTTTAGATGTGAACTTAAACCTGAGAGCAGATTAACTTTAAAAGCCTGTAGAGAAAGAAGCACAAGGGATCACAAAAGTAAAGAAAATAAATATTAAACACATGTGGGGTTAAACAACAAGGGTTTGGATCCCAGATTCCTTTAATAGTTGATCTTAGATGAATGCATTCAGAATATGTATGCTACACAAATAATGACTAAAAATAAGTCTTTGAAAGGGGGTTTCTCAAGCCAGGTGGCGCATTAGACCAGGGGCTCATTTTCTGTTTCCAAAATGCATCACAAACTGCTTGAGAAACTGTTCTACTATGATAATTGGTGATGAAAATAAATTGTTCAATAAAATGTACTTCTGTTCTATTTGGACCTGACACCCATAATGTGGTGGTGCACCATCTTGCTTGAAAATCTCAGGGAAAATGCCAGCTTCAGTGTATAAAGAGGGAAAAACATCATCATGTAGCAATTTCAAATGTCCAGTGGCCTTGAAGTTTCCATTGATTAAGAATGGCCCCACTGTGTTGTCTATGGTGTGAAGATACAAGATGTGCAGCACCTGAAGCTACGGATACTGGAAGCCTGTGCTGACATTTCTCCTGTGGCGTTACTATCAGTATGTGAAGAGTGGGAGAAGAGGGTTGCATTGAAAATTCAACACAATGGGGAGCACATTGAACACATGGTGGTCAGAAACTTGTAAATAATTCATGAAAGAATAAAGTTTTGTTAAAAGCAAGCACATCATTGTTTTCCTTTAAAATGGCCACCATGGTCACCCATCTTGAAAATGTTGCCCCCTCACATATATTATTGTTTCACAAACAGGAGGTTAATATCACCAAACATTCTCATTTAATAAAGTGTATCCATATTAATGGTCCACCCTATTCATTCATTTTCTTGTCGGCTTAGTCCCTTTATTAATCTGGGGTCGCCACAGCAGAATGAACCGCCAACTTATCCAGCAAGTTTTTACGCAGCGGATGCCCTTCCAGATGCAACCCATCTCTGGGAATATATATATATATATATATATATATATATAAAAGAGCAATTCCGTGCAAATGTCAACCTTGCCATGAAAAAAAAAATACGTTTTTACCAAATTACGGAAATCATTTCTGCGTTTTTTGTGTAAGCAAGTATTTTACAGTACTTTAAAAATACTCAAAAATGCATCTGTCAATGTTTTCAAACTATTCTATTTGATTTAACAAAGTCACACAAATGGTAATTTCACATGCGTCACATCCATAACAGAGAGAAGTCACATCCATAACGACACTTTTTCCTCAGAAATGTGAAAATATAAAATAAAATAAAACCAATCATTTTTGTTTTATAGAGAGCCGACTCTAATCCTTTTGATTAGCATTATTTCTTTTGGGTTGTGCAATTTAATTCACATAATTTCTACAAAGTGTGTTGTATACAGTAAACTCGCAGACTTTTTTTTGTCACATCCATAACGCATGCTTATTTTCCTCATTTAAAGTAAAAAAACACGTTTACAGATTGATATTTTTCTGCTCCCATAACTCTGTGGCTAGTTGCTCTAGAAAAAATAATACAATTTTTCAATTTAATGTTAACATATACTTTCTCTGTCAATTTATGTGTTGAGTTTTTACTGCAAAAGTCACATCCATAACGCTGGAATTGCTCATATATATATATATATATATATATATATATATATATGGCAACATATTAGGTTGGATTTCCAGACAACATAAAAACTGTATTATTTGAAGGTTGTATGAAATAAATCAAACAGCCTACAGTATACAGTATCTGGTCAAGTATGCAGGATTCCTCCAGTCATTCAGTATTTAAACTCTGCCCCTGAGCCTACATTCATCTGCATTCAGTTGTGGAAATTGTGGCCATATTATTGTGCTCAACCACTGATGCATAGAACTAACTCCTGCCCTACATTTTTTTCTTTGTCAATAATCCATTACTCTCAGATTTATGCCACAACATGTAACAAAAGATCTGTTGCTTCTTCTGTTTTTATTGTGACTATTGCACTTTATGGACCATACTGTGTTCCTGAATTAGGCTGTATTTGCATTAGGGCTGTGCACTATATCCATGCATAGCTAGCCTGGTGAAAGGGTGGTTCTTTTTCTCTAGACCTTTTTGCAGTTATTGCATTATTTTTGTATTATTTTTATATAAAGGGTTTAAATAAAATATTGTAGTGACATTTAGATTAGAATTTTCGACTGGATTAGCTTGTCGACTGGTAATAGCCGGAATGTGGATGTTTTTTTGATGCATTCAAATATTATATATACGTTTATTTCAAGTTGCTTGCCATACTTTTTTACTACTTAAGTATTTATAGATCATTAAACCGTAAGCTTTATATTACAGTTTTATAAATTATGTTATGAGACTAATTATGAGTTTTAAATTTACATTTTGAATAAAGAAATATGCAATGTGGGGAAAATTGCTTGTCCCACAGCACAAATAGACCATTCTTCTATCATACAAATAAAACAAACACATATTTTAGCTTGTAAAATGTGTTTGAACTTTAAAACGTTTATCTTTTATTAAGCAAATAAACTGCCCGGTGCATTCAACATCCCACCAAGCAATTTAGTTTTATCGATTTTTAATTTTGGGTTTGATTTTTAACCTCTTGGGTACAATGCTGAATCTGGCTGTCAGTGAAAATAGTATATACGTCTATCAATAGACTAGTCATCAAATAGACAGATTAAACCAGAGGTGTCAACCCTGCTCTACAGAGTTTAGTTCCAACCCTGCTTCAACACACTAACCTGGAGGTTTAAAACAAGCCTGAAGGTCTCACATAGTTTGATCAGGTGTGTGTGTTTGTGTGTGTGTTTAATTAGGGTTAAAGCTAAACTGTGAAGGGCTGTGGTCCTCCAGGAACTGAGTTTGACTCATTTGAATTAGACTTCACATGTGTGGTCATTCATTTCTGTGTGATGGCTAGTACATGTGGATGTTTATAATATTTTCACTGATAAAAATTTGGCTTTCACTGCCCAAATTTCAGCCAAGATATCTATGTTTGGATTTCTGTTAGATTAGTATTAGTATTAGTATTAGTATTAGTATTAGTATTAGTATTAGTATTAGTATTAGTATTTTTAAACACACAAAAAATGCTTGCTGGGATAGCACATTAGCACAAGACCACATTTCGATGAAATTACTGAAAATAGTGTAAAGTTCATTGGGTTAACAACTAACAACAGCTCATTTCCAGAATGTTCAGCTCAGTGCATCAATCGTATTAGCAGAGTCAATTATAAAAAAAGTGTGTGTAATCACCTAATATGTTTTTGTCCTTGCAATGAAAAAAAAATATTGCTTATTAATAGACTTCTAATCGACTTCTAAACATTATTTGGTCAAGGAAACTCTGGCATGCTTTGACTGATGACAGCCAAATTAATTCAAACAGGTTGCTTTTATTTGTTTACTGATCAATGTTTGTTTTGAATAACAGCATAAATGAAATGTTAATCACACAAAAGACTTAAAACTGCTGAATTTATATGGATTTTTTAAAAAATATTTATTTTCAAGCTGATGAATTGTCAAAAGTATGGGTGAATAGTTTTTCAGTGGATGGACAAAAATCTCATTTCTGTTCTGAGGATAAATTGAAGTCTTTTCAGGATTTGAATGAGTGTAAATGATGACAGAATTGTCATTTTGGATGAACAAACTCTTAAATAAATGGCACTCTTATAGGGTCTCAAATTGCTTTGTAGAAAATGCGTCTGCCAAAAGTCTTCTGAATGCAATAAGGATGTAGTTCTGAGGAATTGAGATATATATAATTCAATGTCCAATTGTTAATGTGTACTTCTTTGTTTTGCAGCACTTCTTACGACCAGACCACCTAAAGTCTTGTTCCCGTCAGAGAGACAAGCCAGTGTTATAGACGTCCAACTCGGTGAGTCCATCTTACATGTACAAATATACAGTGTATTTGTTTAAATAGTCTTTTAAATAATGCATGATAAGTTAAAATAGAGATACTAAAGAATTCCTAGCATACTCATGTCCTTGACTGACCTATAATGAGCATTTACGTTGAGTTATTTATGTTATGTAGTGTAATAATCTAAACTTCAGGCAGATGTGTGCTTTAAAAAATATAAGAATCACAATTTAATCTGCAGAATTGACCTGCAGACTAATTTAAATGGTAAAATGATAATTAGAGCCTACGCCAAAAGGTGAATATGCTACTTGGCTTTCATAGGGTTACTGAAGTTTTACATGACATATTAAGGAACTTTTATCAACAGTATGGTGTACAAATTCCCAGGCGTTGTTGCAGGTTCATTTACCCGACATGTTTAGCAATGCTTAGCAAATGGACAATTAGGAGGATGCCACAAAAGTGAGAATGTAATTATTGTGCAAGTGGAAAATGGTCTCTGGTGCCATAATATGCACCGTTTTCATTTTAATGATGACAAAAACATGGACTGTTTTGCATGTTTATTTATTTATTTATGTATTTATTTTGGATCTCTGCAGGCCAGACAGAAGTAGCTAAACAAAGCAGTTTTGGAAGGAAAAAAATATTGCCGCTATGTTTTTATTCCTCAGATTTATCAACTATGTTACTCTGGAGCACAAAATCAGTCCTATGTTGTACAGGTATACACTCACCGGCCACTTTATTAGGTACACCTTACTAGTACCGAAGGATTAAAGGTTGAACCCACTTTTGCCTTCAGAACTGACTTAATCCTTCGTGGAATAGATTCATCAAGGTACTGGAAATATTTCTCAGAGATTTTGGTTCATATTGACATGATAGCATCACGCAGTTGCTGCAGATTTAAATCGATCGATGATGTGAATTTCCCGTTCCACCAATCCCAAAGATGCTCTATTGCATTCAGTTCAGGCCCAGTTTTGGGTTATTGACTTGGCTGAGACTTGGCCAAGATATGGTCCGTGTTTAGCTCTAGTCTAGAAGCCAGACATGGTCCAGTCATGTACCGTAATTTACCAGTTTAGCATATAGGCCAAGCAAAAGCTGGTTGTGTGGGCCAGAAAGATTTTGCTATGTGGGTATAAATCAATCTAAAAGTATTTATTTTGATTTCAGTTTATGTATAAAATCCAGCTGATGAAATAACATTTGGGCTGAAGGTATTTGAGAGGTTTGTTTGCCACACACTTCAGTTAGACGGTATTTACGCGATTATCAGTTCACTATACCAACACAAAGCCTTGGCTACACAGTGGGATCAAACATCCTGCTTTATAGAATCTCATTTTGCCCCAGATCTGCGGCCTTTTCAAGCAAAGTCTGTTGCATCTGTGACCACATTTGTAAAGCCTCCCGGCAGCTTTTCTGAGAATCCCAGACCAAGCCATATCTGTCTGAATAGGAGAATCCTGAAATGTCAAATGTCAGTGCTTGCCAGACTCACATTTAAGTAACATATTTCAAGCCAGAAACAAAATGTGACATGAACTTATTTATAAATGTTGCTCCATATGCTCAAATAGTGTCAAACAAGCTTTCTGCCTGGATCACCTAATGCACATGAGCACAGGTCACAGAGCACTCGCTGTTTATACGAACACCAAACTTACAGTATGCAAAGATATTTAAAACTCACGATTGGCTTTTTTATTAAAGAGTCCACCCAAAAAAAATAATGAAAAATCTGTATTTTTGTTTACTCATGCTCATCTCATTCCTAACGCCAAAGGAAGACATACAATTGTTAATTTTTAGAACACAAATTAGGATGTTTTAGATAAAATTCAAAAACTTCTACATACTCCATAGACAGCAAAGGTAACGTTCGAGGTTACTAAAGTAACCCTTCGTTCCCCGAGGAGGGGAACGGAAGCACTATAAGTGGATTTGATTGTAAAATCCACGCATTGGGAGGTTCGGTTCAGAAGCTACTCGTCTGAAAGAGTATTGAACGGGCCAATTAAGAATGAATTGGCAGCGCAAGCCTGCGCAGGTGAGCGGCATAAGCAATCAACTGAGTATATAAGCTCACCTGGCGCCAGCAGACGCTATCCTTTTTAAGCTGAAGAGACTTTCAACAGCTAAGGGACAGTCATTATGGCGACGGAGTATAGTGCTTCCGTTCCCCTCCTCGGGGAACGAAGGGTTACTTTAGTAACCTCGAACGTTCCCCTTCGGGGGGAACTTCAGCACTATAAGTGGATTTGATTGTAAAATCCACGCATTGGGAGCCCATTGAAAGCGCCATAATGACTGCACCTTACCAACACCCCCGATGAGGAGATAATCAAGCAAGCGTGACGCACCCACATCATGGGGGGCGCGGTCCTCCAACGTGTCCCTGGCCCTAATTTATCCTACTTCAACAGAAGTTTTACGGATTTATATATATTTTTGGGAAGTCGTGAGCATCTAGATAATTCTAGGAAAATACGACAGTACGTTGGGAAGCGTGCAATCCCGATAGGGAGGACGCTGCGGAGGCCATCCGTTACCCAAGGGGGGATAGATGGCAGAATTTACATATGGACTAGCCCTAAAAGGGGGAGTACGCATAGCAAAAGAGTGGTTAGCGGGGAGGGAAGACACGGGTCCGCCCAGGGGGGGGGGACTTAACCGTGGCTGAATAAGCATATGGGATCGCCTAGTGGGGACCACGCATAGCAGGCACCTTTACCCAAAACGCGGGCTGACCAGCGGGCAGACCTACAACGTAGTGGGCCAGCAAGTGACTCCTCCGCTGAGTCAGAGCTGGGGGCCACGGAGGAATCTGCAGGGCTCACCTGACGGGGAACTTTACTGACAGATAAAAAGGCGCACGTATCTCCGTGTTAGGGAAAATGGCGCAGCAAGCGTGTTTCAACACCCTACCGAATTGTTTCCTCAATCACCAAGGGTTACCTAATACCCTTGAGGAAACCGGCTCCACTCGCAGATTGTAAAACCTTGCAAATGTGTTGGGTGTCACCCAGCCCGCAGCTCTACAGATGTCTGTTAGAGGGGCGCCGCGTGCGCGCGCTCGAGAGGATGCGAAGCTCCGAGTGGAGTGCGCACGCGCTCTCGGGGGACGCGGCTCATCTCAGCTCTGATAGTGAAAGAAAGGCATCCACAATCTAGTGGGAACTTATTTCGGTACGGCACTTCCCTGCTGCCGACCGCTATAACAGACGAAGAGCTGCTCAGATGATCTAAACTCTGAGTGCGGTCCGGATAATACGCAAAACGCGAACTGGACAATAAATAAGGGCTGGGTCTGCCTCCTCCGAGGGCAGCGCTTGCAGGCTCACTACCTCGTATTAAAACGGAGTGGTAGGAACCTTGGGCACATATCGCGGGCGGGGTCTCATACGTGAGAGAAGCCAGCCCAATTACAGGCACGAGTCACTGACCGAAAAATGCCTCCGGGTCCCCGACCCTCTAATCGATATCAACGCGACCAGCAGAGCTGTCTTCAGGGACAGAAATATACTGAGTCGAGGATCGAAGGGATCTGACGCGGCTTGTGTAGCGAGGGCGAGATCCTAAGAGGGCATGAGAGGGGGCGGGGTGGATTAATTCGCTTAACGCCCCTGAGGAACCGGATGATGAGGTTATGCGTTCCCACGGTGCTGCCAGCCACCGCGTTATGAGAGCGGAGATGGCAGCCACGTAACCTTGAGTGTGGAGGGCGACAGCCTGCTCTCCAACTTCTCTCGGCGTAAAGAAAGCACAACGCTGATCTGGCAAATTACGGGGGTCTTCTCAGCGAGAGACACACCATTCAGTGAATAGACTTCACGTCAGGGCATAGGCGCGCTCGGGGAGGGGGCTCTAGCCCGAGTGACGGTATTAGCCACCGCAATCGGAGGTTACCTAAGTCTTCCTCGCGTCTAAAAATCTCCAAAGATCGGCGAGGGTGCCAGGTGGTGCCCTGTCCCTGAGAGAGTAGGTGCTCTCTCGAAGGGACTGCCAGGGGAGGGCTATCGCGAGGGAGAGCTCTGACATCCAGGTCCGGTTGAGCCAGAGGGGCGCAACCAGCAACCTGTTCCTCGTCCTCCCTGACCATGCACAGTAACTGCGCGAGCAGGCTCACTGGGGGAAACGCGTATTGCGCGTGCCCCGAGGCCAGCTGTAAGCCAGTGCATCCGTGCCGAGAGCACTCGGTCAGGGAAAGAACAACTGGCAATGAGCGATCTCGGGGGAAGCAACAGATCGATCTGGGCTTCCCCGAATCGCGCCCATATCAGCTGAACAGACTCGGGGTGGAGTCTCCATTCTCCAGGACGCAAGGCTGCCGTGTGAGCGCATCGGCTGCACGGTTGAGCTTGCCTGAATATGAATGGCGTGCAGCGATTTCAGCCGCGGATGACTCCAGAGAAGCAGACGGCGGGCGAGCTGAGACATGCGGCGAGAGCGCATACCCCCTATACGGCTGATATACGCCACCGCCGCCGTACTGTCCGTCCTGACCAGCACGTGTTGCCGCTCCAACACCGGAAAAAAACGGTGGAGAGCGAGGAACACTGCCAACAGCTCCAGGCGATATGCCAATGCAACTGGTTACCTTTCCACAGGTCCGCAGCCGCATGCCCGCAACGCACAGCCCCCCAGCCCGTGTTGGAAGCGTCTGCTGAAACGACAACAAGACTGGACGCCTGTTCTAGAGACACCCAGGCCTGTAGGAACGAGGGGTCTCTCCAAGGGCTGAGGGCGCAGCGCAGTAACAGAGACTCGGTGTGCGCGCGCGTGCCATGCGCGTCTGGGGACTCGATCGTGAAGCCAGTGCTGAAGTGGTCTCATATAGAATAATCCGAGCGGCATGAAGCGGCTGCGGATGCCATATGCCCCAGGAGCCTCTGAAATAGTTTCAGTGGGACCACTATTTTACTGTCGAGCTCTCTCAGACAGTACAGCATCAGCTGAGCGCGCTCTCCGGAGAGGCGCGCTGCCATGGTGACCGAGTC